AATGTAGCCGTGCGCGCATGGCAAGGGCCTCTGCGAGGCCGGCAATGATCTGCCGGAAGAGGCGGCGAGCCTGCCGCAAGTCCCAAATTTTTGGTTGGAAGAAAGGCTCTCTACTTCAAAATGAGCACCCGAGAACTCTTCTGGAGCCGGGGGCGAAGTCTAGAGGGATGCTAACAGAGAGAGCGGGGGTGCTTCACCGGCGTAGAGACTACGATTCCGACACACAATTTTTGTTGCGGACCTCTGGCTCCTCAAGACGCCGCTGCTTGCGGACATATTCAAGCAGGTCCCCACCGCAGGCGTACCTGACAAGAGGAGCGCCACCGGAGCACACACGAAATCTGAAAGTTCCGGAACCTTGCGGGAAGCTGCAACCATGCAGGGTTGCGCAGGGGTCTCAGAGAAGCTTGAGAAGTTTGAGAAACTCAGCACCATGTCCAGACTCAAGAAAAAACTCAAGCAGGACAGGCTCCGGTGGCACTCCATGATGACAAACGTTCGACAGCGCGTCGAAATCATCTCATGGATCTTCACCTGATCCATGACACTGGCAGTTCTGGGCTGAGTTCATCCTCCCTGTGCACATGCAATGGGGGGAGGGGGGGCAGCGGTCCTTTCAGCAATCTATGCCTAACAAAGACACTTGCTGGTTTGATGCAATGGCTGTTGGTTGGAAAATTATGAAGATGAGGAGCCTCCACTACAATCTTTGTGGAGCATGTGACAGCATTCACGTCAAAGCCCCCAAAAAACATGCAACTTCTTTTTTCCTTCCTCCACTACCTTACGGTATCTCGCGTGGATCCAGCAAGAGCAGTGTGCGCGGCACAGCTCAAATCGAACAATGTCCATGCGAGCGTGCGTGCCTGCGTGCCTGAAAGCCTGCGCGCCTGCGTGTGTGCCGTTTCTGAAGCATCTTACATGTCTCAAAGCAAGGCAACTTGAACCCCCCACGAAGTTCGCTACGTGATAAGGGTCAGGAACACAAAGACTGCACTCTGCCAATGAACTCAAATATGCGTGTATGTACACAAAATACCGTAAATACCATGTACCATGTACATGACTGCTTCGCGAACTGCGATTGGACAGGCGTAAGCCAAAGACAGCCTGAGGGGCACATAGCTTTCAATGCCTGCGCAAAGTTTTGCTTCGCATGTCAACCCACGCCAAGCTCGGAGATATGCCCGCAAGACTGGAACTCAAAACATCGAAGCCTCAACATAAGCGTCCCCACTCCCCACCCTCATCGCCACAACGCATCATGACAGATCATGACCATTCATGACCCATTTTGACTCTCGAAGTCCCATACAACAACATACAACAACGTACGACAACCAAGGCTGCGGCTATGTGGGGGTGCCAGAAGCGCTTCAAAATCTGCGCCTCTCAGAGAAGCACACCGGTTTGCGTCACAGCCCACACCGTCTCACAATTCTCCCATTCCTGCCTCATCTTGCACCTCCTTCGCTTCGTGCCACGACCGGTGTTGAAGGATCTGGGCGGACGGTAGGCACCGGATGCTGGTGCCAGAAATGCTAAGGGCGACGATATGCAACGACATGGCCTCTGTGCAGGCCATACGTGAGATTAGCACGGGCGACTGCTTCTCATCTCTGCCCCTGCACGCCTGTACGGCCCGATACCTCCACCGAGGCCCCAGCTTTCACAGCCACAGTCTCATCTGTCGAGATGCGGGTTGCCAGTTTGACCTTCCCAGGCTTCTGGGGCTTCGGCAATGCAAGACGCATCAAAAGCACAACCCTTCGCCCTTCGCGGCTAAGGGCCATCTTCCCACGTGGATGAATCCGGACGGGAGCGCAAGGGGATGAGACTAGGTGAGAAGGGGTGGAAGGAACCACCTGACATGCTTTGTTAAAAAGCACGCTTCACCTGTTTGCCAGCGACCTGCTAAGCAGGCTCCGCCAGACGACCAGAAATCCACGGCTCCCGGCTGCAATGCCAGGCATCACATCCGAATCCATAAGCATCTTTACATCCAAAATCCAAAACCATCATTTAAAAACAGCCTTCCCAAAGAACCCACAATCCCCGCCCCCCTTCCGCACCTTTGCAAACGAGCCTGCGCCAAGTGTGGCCCCTGTTCAGTCGCAGGTTCTTTGTTGCTTGTTTCATGCCAGGACATGGAGCTGTCAGAGCTGGGCTGGGCAAGCCCCAAAAAAGCAGCCAAGGCCCCTGCCTAAGGTGTAGTCCCTGAGACCAGCCGCCTGCGATGCAAAAATGAAGCCCCAGCTCCCCCGGCTCACAGGAAAAGCATGAAAAGCAGGTTTTTGGTCACTGGTCACTACATCTTGCTTGGGGCGGGAGGAACGCCTTGGCCGACAGAGGGGTGGGGGGGAGACGGGAAGGGAAACGGAGGATAGAAACGGAGCCCTGGCAGAGAGAGAAAAGGGAAATAGGAATGCCTCTCGGATCACTGCGGGGTGTGGAGGTCCATCTGAGTTGAAGCCGCACGCCGAATTTCAAAATGAGCTCGGCCTAAGCCAAAAACATACGCGGACTTTTGCAGCCCGCCCCGGCACACATGTTAAGGGCAGAAGGAGAGAGACCCCTAGAAGGGACGTGATTCTTATTCCCCTATTTAACCCCTATATATATATATATATACCCTATATAGCCATATACATATATATACATATCCCCAAAAGAACCCTATGTACCGCCTAAGGTCCCTTACAAAGGGTGGTTGCCGGATCAACATAGAAAAGGCTTAGGGTTTAGGGTTCAGGGGTTAAGGCCTGGGGTTTAGGGCCAAATTTAGGGCCTAGGGTTTATAAGAGTTTGTTTTTTATCGCCCCCTTTTTTGGCGCTTTTCTATTTTTTTGACCCCTATCCACCTTACAAGGCTCCCTCCTTTAGTCCCTTGAACATGTTCGTCTTGCATGGCCTGCGGATCGTGGCCCAAACCGAGGAGCATCATCTCCTCCAGCTGCTCAAAAGCCTCAGACAATGCTTGCGGGACTCCGTTTTCAAGTACGTTTAAGCATGTTTGAGCTGCCGGTGTCCGAGACGGTGGGAACGTGACTTCAAAGGGGGAAGTTACTTTGGGCTTTGGACGGGCTTGGGGTGGGAAGTGGGCTACACTCTCAACGTTCAGCCCGAGTCCAGCTGAGGCGGGCGCCGAGGAGCGGAGGCCTGCGGAAGGGCCACGCTGACCGTTACTCAGCCCTTTTTAGGGGTTCGGGCCTTACAGGGGGCCTCGTCTTGATGCAACATCAGGCTTGTGGCACACAGCAGCTGCAAGCGCAGCACATCCGGAGGCAAAACGGACTGAACGCACAAGGAGAGAAACTCTGGCGAGGTGCACAAGCCTCCGACTGATGGTCTTCTGTTCTTCTGCTGTCTTCTGGGTTCGGTCAGCTTTCGAGGTTCCGAGACGGACGTGCTCTAAACCTTGAAACTCTGAGACCCGGTGCCTAGCACCGCTTGCAGGCAGTTCTCGAAGGGAACCTTCCAGGCACCGTCGTCCTCCGTGGAGGTCAGGGCGGAAGGGATCTCTTAGGGGGGCGCGTTGGTGAACAAACAGGGCTGAGAAGAATGAAGACAAAAGGGAAGAATCCGAGGCGCTGAGGGTTTCGGGTTTCCGGCCCTAAGGGTCCTAAGGGTCTACATGCTGAACAGGGGACCGACAGTGGCACCACCCTGGGCTTTTGGCAGGTTGTGCAGGGGTTCAGGGTGTACGGCGAATGATCAGCCCAAGCCCTTAACGTCACATCAGGGATCATCACCCTCCTCCGCCTTTTCTTCTTCTGCTACTGCCCGCTCTACTGCTTGGGGCTCGAGTGAGATGTCAGCTCGAGATCTGAGCTCATCTCGTCCTCTTCTCCATGTATCTGTTTACGTCCAAGAAGTTCAACAGTCCCTGAGTCCGACGCGAGCTGAGTTTCCGCCTCGGGCCTACATCTGCCTCCCTAAAGCTTAAAGTTCTCAACCCCCCCCCCCCCAAACAAAAAAAAAAACAAAACAAAAGGCCACACAAGACCTAAACTCCAAACCCCACCCTTGCCCTCACGGAAGGCTGCAGGCTCTGGCCTTACGAGGCTTGGACGCGACTTGCAGAGCAGCAACCTGGACAGCGGAGCCAAAACATGGGAGTTGTTTGGGGGCGCTCCAGGTCTTAGGAGGGCGCGCGATGTATGCAAGTAGTCCCAGGCAGAGGTATGAGATGGTATGAGGTACAGTAGAGGGCTCCAAGTGGTTCGGTCCGAGACTTGGGGTTTCGGGAAACGCCAAGTGGACACGCCGCACTGAGAACCCTAATACGAAACTTCATAAACTTCTATGTACTGCAGCGGGCGCGCCAGGATCGGTCTCCAGTTGCTCTTGGTCAGCTGCAGCGCTGTATTCCTGGCTCAAGACGCAGGAGGAGAGCTGTCGCAAGCGACAAGACAACACCGAAAGCTCTACACCAAATCGCTATGGGCCTCCAAGGACTAGGTCCCAGGCTCTTCTGGGATTTAGGGAGTTTGGGCTGGCAAGATGTAAATAGGCTTTCGGAAGAAAAAAGGTCGGCAGCCGACACTTTGGGGAGGGTGCCAGCGCAGCCGGGCGATGTGCCCCCCAGGCAGAAACGTGGCAGCTCGGGCCGCTTCAGCAGCGCGTCGACATTCTCCATGGCGGAGTGGCAGATCTGTCTCAGGCTGAAGGCAGCGCTAAACCCGTAAAGCAAGTCTACC